GGTATCTCTCGACGTGACTCTGCCAAATCGTGTCCCCACCCTCAACGATTCTACAAATTCTTGATAACGTCTGCGATATCCCCGAACGAATTTCGCAAATTTTTCTGTATTTTATTTCGCTCTTTATCCCCTTATTTTCCCACGACATCTTATTTTCTTGACACTGGCAGCGAATAGCAAATGGCGAACACGTTGGTCGTCGCGAACGATATCTCGTATGACTTACGACACGTCCGTTACTGGGACAAGGTCGCCGTGAAATCTGGAATGTCTCCTGAAAAACGATTCCGGTTGAGATCGGATCAGACACGATCCAGCACGCTGAGTAGATCACGTTCGAGAACGTCGCGATCTACGGATAAACCTGCGGCAATCGATAGGAGGTAGGTTAATGAAGCCTCGGGGGAGAGGATTGAAAGCTCGCGGAATTTTTCCCGAGCACAACGATTCCGCGAATAACGTGTCTCGTTCTGCGAAGTTTCGTATGCAAAGCTGGGATATATACAGGGTGGTCCGTAAGTGCGCGTTTGCGATTCGGAGGGTGAATCGGATTTCAATGGATTTTATTTCGTGTTACATTGAAATGGAGAACTGTTCTTGGTAAAATGACGAAAAATTATAGTAATTTGTGCTTGTAGATTTTTTCGGTGAAGGTATAAAGACGTAATAATTCAAAGCTTTTCTTATGCGATATTTTTCTTGGTTTGATGATGGCATTTATGTTGAATTAAAAATAAAAAATCACACGTATTTTGTATTTCGATATTGAGAATTAAAAATTGTAATAATTTATTACTTTATTCATAATATATTTGAAGTGCGGATTTTTTAGAAATATAAACAAATATACTTCTTCGCGCGATTTTTATTCAGAAAATGTGTTTTATTAGTATTTATTAGTTAATATATTTTCTAAATAAAAATCGAATATATTTGTTTACATTTGTAAAAAATCCGCGTTTGAAATGTATTATAAATAAAATAATCAATTATTACAATTCTCAATTCTCAATATCGAAAAACGAAATACGTGTGATCCTTTATAAAATTAAATAATAGGTACTTAAATAATAAATATGAAACAATACATTTTCTAAATAATAATCGCACGAAAAGGTATATTTGTTTATATTTATAAAAGAATAGAATTATAAAAGAATTAATTATTACACTTTTCAATTTTCGTTACTTGTCTTCGACTCCTGTGTCAAACTATAATTTTTGAATAATTAATTCCCGATAAATATTTAAACAATATTTTTTAACCCAAATTTGAACGTTTCTTTTTGAACACCATTAACTTCTTCGTACATTTTAATTATTATCCCATGATGTAAAAAAAGTGTGGTGCAAATCACGCGAATTTTTTTTAAAACCTTTTTTTAATAATAAAATTACCGATCTCTAATGAGTATTTAAATATAATATACATTATCAATAATAATTAAAGCAGTACGAAAATGAAAATAAAACAGTATACATAATTAGAATCACGGTGGAATAAAAATTAATATCAATTCTGCCAAAAATGCAATTGCATATTCTCAGAAATTGCACAAATAAAAATTTAAAAACAAGTCATTTTCACCCCTTTGGTAGTTCTAGTATTAAAACCCTTTGCACTTAAGAGGTGCCCTTCAGTCGCCATTTGATAAAATTTCGAAGCTCGATATTAATTAATATATCAAATTTAAAATAATGTGACAATGTGCAAATTATCGAAATTAAATAATTCTACTTATTATGCGATTCCTTAATTATTATTTATTATTATTACTTATTATTCTTTATTATTTATTATACGATTCTCAATTATTATACGATTTCTTATTCACTGCTCAAAAAATAGGATCAGCTTTATAGCAGAAAATTTTTCATCTCGTACCCTTCTTTAGCCAAAAAGTCGTCGAGTGTAAAGGGTTAAATGGTACAGTATTTACACTATTAAAGTTTTCTAATTTTCTTCCATACGATGGATAATTTGAGGTACCTCGATAATCCGCGAGTGTTTCACCTATAAAGAAGGACGAGAATCTCGTGGAACTCGGGAGAGCCTAATCTCGGTGGAAAATCTCGCGAAAAACGGAAACGAAGGACGGATAGGCTGCAACCTGATCCAATCGTCGGGAATAATCGACGCCGGGGAGGCAGATGGTTTTAAGGGACCCAAACGTGGAAAACAATTTCTCTTCGTGGCAAATATTTTACCTCCAAACAGAGCACAATGGCGGTTCTCTGGCCTGCGGGCACAATGGCCCGTGGGTTTAAGAAGGAAAAGCCCGCACTTTGTGGAAACTGCCGTGGGGCCGTTTCACAAAAGTATCGCGTTCACGCGGCCGTGCGTTCTGGTTTACATACCACCCTCTTGGTTTTACGAAAAGGCGACAACCCTCGAAACCCAGCGCTATCTATCGAAAAATATTTACCCTCTGACATTTATATGCTCGTCGCACCCTCGGCGTTTGTTCCGTTCACGAGAAAACATTTATCAGGAGAATATGTATTAAATATATATATATACAGGGTGTTCCAAATAAACCAGGTCAGATTTTTACCGATTATGAGGATAGGAAAAATATTTTACACGCAATTCGTATTATACGAAGAGACCGATAAGAAATAATTTTCCGGTCTAAATTTTAATCGGAATATATATTAAATATATATAATATAACTGTATACAGGGTATTAGAAATAAACCAGGCTTTATTTTTACCGATTACAAGTATAGGAAAAATATTTTACACGTAATTCGTATAGTACGAAGAGACCAATAGGAAATAATTTTCCGGTCTAAATTTTAATCGGAATATATATTAAATATATATAATATAATTGTATAGAGGATGTTCCAAATGAATCACGCCAGATTTCTGCTAATTATAGCCGCAGGGAAAATATTTTACACGCAATTCGTATAGTACGAAGAGACCGATAGGAAATAATTTGCTTATCTAAATTTGAATCAAAACATGTATTAAATATATATAATATAACTATATACAGGATGTTCTAAATAAACCAAGCCAGATTTTTACCGATTATGAGGATAGGAAAAATATTTCACACGCAATTCGGATAATACGAAGAGACCAGTACCAAAAATAATTTTTCCGTCTAAATTTTAATTTTGAGAGACGAAAACGACAGTACTGTCTTTCTTTTTAATTTATTAGAGTAATAAATATCCGAATTGGTGATTTCAATGATTTATATGAACGAATACTTCAAGTTTTATTTAAATTTTCAAAGTTAGGGTTCAATTCGAGGATAAAATATTTTATAAAATATATATATATAATAAAATTGTCGCGTTTTTTGATCGTTCACGAAGATATCGGATAGTTAGATATTCTTGGAAGATAAAGCATCGAGGTTAGTCGCGTGCAAGGGGCACGTTATGTCTTGCAATTTTTCGCGTATACATATTCAGCGTAGAATTATTTGGAATTGATATCATTAAACGTCACGAAGGATTAATCGTTGGCTGTTGTCGCGATAAGGGGAATGTAGGGCAAGGGAGCTATACAAAGTACGCCTGGTGTACTTAATCCTCCTGATATCTCGTCCACTATCAATATCAGATATTCTACCATAGTCTTTCATTTTTCTATAGTTCCCGGTTCGCGAAACTAGCAATTACCATCGTTGGAATTTTTATTCCCACGTTTCCTTAAATTTCTAATCTATAGGACTCCATTTTGATCGGGATTTACCACGAAACACCGCGAAATTTGCTATTTATCCACCCAATTTTATTAGAATTCATTGTCAATCTTTTTTCCCATGATTTTTAATTAATTTCCAATTTTTTAAATTAATTTTCAATTTAATTTCCCATTTTTAATACATGAGACTCCATTTTAATTCCATATTACTAAGGAATATTGCGAAAATTGCTAGATATTGTCTCTAATTTCGCTAGAATTCGGTGTCAATCGTTTCATTAAATTTTTAATTCACGAAATACCATTTTGATTGCGTATTACTGCAAAATATTGCGAAAATTGCTATTTATCACCCCCATTTTGCACAAATTCGTCGTCAATCATTTCCTTAAATTTCTAATCGACGAGATTACATTTTGTTTGCGTTTTATCATGAAATATTGCGAAAATTGACATCTATCATTTCCAATTTCGCTAGAATTCCTTGTCAAGTGTTTCGAGAAACTTCAAATCGCTAAAATTCGACTTTATTCACCCCTAACATCATCTCTCGCGCAATAGTTTTGGTGATTCTACAAAAGAAGTAGATGTTAATTACAAACTATGCAAAATGGCTATATTACAATTTCGCACATACAATATCAGCAAGGAAAGTCTAGATTTAAATACGAGTTACTAAATCCTAAATTCCGCTTGCCATAAATCAATAAACAAAGATAGGACTGACCACAAATCACCCAATCAGTCCCAATTCCATTAGAACTCATCTCATTCAACAAATTTCGAATCGCCAAAATCGTATATCCTGTTCAGTGTAACACGCATTATCTATCGCCTTACCACCCTCTCAATGGAAAACACGAAACACCGTCAAATATCAACCCCCATTCTCAACCTCGTCAGAACCTCTCCCCACTCGTTCCTCAAAATTTCACATAATTCTCGAATAAAATAATCTCTCTCCCCTCGCTCCACCCATCTTCCAAAACCCTCGAAAACTCTACCATCTCTTTAATATTCCTGCTTCATAGGAGCGGAAAAAAAATGGTAAAATTTAACGCGACGAACCACTCGTATCCCCAAGTGCTAGGCTTATCCACGTGTGCAAGCACGCACAGCGACACGCTTAGCCACACGCAGGATACTCGTATAGACGTAGAGAGGCGCGTGGATGGTGCGTAGCAAGGATATATTATTCGGTTGCTCGTGGCCGGTTGGCACGGCGTGTTTAACTACCCCCGGGTGTGCGTGGATCAGCCGGCTAGATGAAGCGGAGCCGGGCCGAGATAAAACACACTGTAAACGGCCGGCCGGTCGGATATTTGGTTACAGGGAGGCGGCGGCACGTGCGCCGGAGCTCCGGGCCAGGTGGTGGAGCTCGTGCCGTTGAAGAAACAGAAGAGGCAGCAGCGGGGGTGGGAGGCTCGGCGGACGGGCTGGACGAAGGAAGGGGAGTAGGAGGATGCGAGTCGGTAGGAGCGAGCGTGCTCGAGGAGGTTAGTTGCTCACCGGTGGCGGATGGCGAGGTCTGCTGCGGCGACAGCAGTACCACCACCAACTACAGCCACCGTCGTCATCACCTCCACCATATACACCGTCGCTATAGTCATCGTCACCAGCAACAGCAGCGTCACCGATGTCAGCAGCGAAGGGACAGCGTGGCTAGCAACGAGCTCGTCGTCGACGAGGAAGCCGACGATGAGGCTACGTGCCAGGACCAGGCTGCCGCTGCTCCAACTCATCGGGACATCCGTCACGAGCTCCATCACCTTCACCGTCATCACCATCTGCATCACCACCATCACCACCATCATCACCACCACCACCACCATCATCATCTGCATCATCTTCATCAGCGGCTGCGGGACGACAGACCGCCCTGCGATCGGGACCACAGCGTCGACCGCATCGTCCGGACCAGCGATCGCCACGCGGATGGTACCACCGCCACCGACAACCCTGCCACCGTCACTGCCATGACGAGAGGATGCAGGATCCCGCCCTACCTCGCCACTCTACTCATCCTCTCTTACACTCTCTTCGGTATAGCAGGTCAGTGCAATTTTTATCTCATTCCTCGTCTAATAAGAGTGCATCGGACACGAAAATCTTGACAGACTGTACAATCGGAGACGCGAATGACACGTAGCTTTGGCATTTTTTGACACGCCTCTCGTCGAATAGTGACATTTTCGATCCGAAAAATCGCCCCTGTTTATGAGGAAGTGAAACAGACATAGCTGACAATAGGCTGTGTGCTTTTTACAATTGTCAGCTTCTGTCATTGTCATTTAATCTATCCTCGAGATTAACTCATTTGCATCGTGGCTCTACTTAAGACCGTCCGTGTCACCGCGCGCGTATCAGTACCTAATTAATCGATCATAATGACAGTTAAAGGGATTTTCACAACAAAAGTAAAACTCGTTAGGTATATAATGAACCGATGTAGATGAGATGATCACAAAAGGGATCAAACGTGATCTGTGGCGTATGAGGAATATTCAGCAACTGGTAATGGAAAAAGTCAACTCGCGGATTATTCCGCGCTCGGTGATAGGCGACAGTTATGTCTCGCGGATTATTCCGCGCTCGGTGATAGGCGACAGTTATGTCTCGCGGAATATTCCGCGCTCGGTGATAGGCGACAGTTATGTCTCGCGGAATATTCCGCGCTTGGATGCAAATGGGTTAATTAAATCTTAGACTCGAATTTCCCAATCGAGAATGTCTAAAAACCGTCACCATTTTCCAAAACAATCTCCATCTTACGTCAAATTAACTTTACATCGAAGTGCATAGATCGTGGAATTGGGCCACCGCGAAAGTGCCATTTTCCATAATGACAGCCGCGTTCCTCCAATTTTTAATTCCATTCGATGCTTACAAAAAAGAAACTTGGCGACAATCGGTGTGTTGCGAAATTGCCATTTTCCCGATTTACACTCGGAGTCCTCGATGTTTGCGAACGGTGACAACGAAAAAATGGCCGCGTGGCGCGGCACAAAGGGATCCCATTGTCCGTATTTAGAGTACGCGGTCTCGAGTGGACGCGTGTCGTCGACAGATCGCAAGAATGCGACACGTGCGTCGGGGACCCGATGACCCGCGACAATTACGCGCATACCTCGCGAATTATTCCCTCGAATTTGCACACGGCCCCGCGAATGGTCCCCGAATGGTCCCCGAATGGGAACCGTGACCAAACATCGCCAAGCCCGAAGCCCTCGGGAAAGGGAGAAGTAATCGTGGCAAATTTGCAAATGACCGAGCAACCTGTCATTTCTCCGTTGTACCCGACAATCTTCGCCGATTATTCACCGTTGGTCCCAAAAATCATCTTCCTCGTCGCGAACGATGCCCTCGACGTGGTTCCTCTACGCGGAGGAACGAGCGGGTGTTTTCGGGAGACACGCGCAGCACCCTTGGCAGCCGCGCAGAATTATAACAGGTGACAGATAGCACGCACCAGCGGATGCAACGTGCGACGCGGGCGTCTCCTGCACAAGAACGCCGGTGTTCTTGCGCACAGCTCGTGGCCTCTGCCGCGTCTCTCTTATTACCTGAAACGTGGCGTGCGCGAATATTTTCCAACTTTCGAGCCGTTCCACGGCATGCCCGATTAACGACACACCGAGTGCCTGGCGTTCCTCCGGCCCTTTTTGCGAGGGCCAAGTGCCATCGGGGGCAAAAACCATCCGCCATATACCGATCCACTGGATATCGAAAATGCGCAAAACAAAGGGGTTGTCTTGCGGATTTTGCTAAAGAATTCGGACAATGTCTTTTGCCGCACTGCTTTCAAATGGAATTTACGCGAGGTTCCAGGATGAAACGGGAAGAAAATATTGGATTATTTAGCAGGGATATTTTTGGGGGTTGTAAATGGTGAATTGCAGTGGGATAATTTAGGGATTTCACTCATCATGTATCGTGTATATTCAACGTTACCATTTAAATTACCGTTTGTTTTACGCGTCGCGTGCAATTTTATGTTTACATATACAGGTAGCCCTCCTACAACACGGCATCCTATAACACGGTTCATAAATTTCGGGAACCCTCCTACAACACGGTTTCTAATACGATAAGAAAATTGCAAAACCTTTGTACAACACTGTACTTCTACATGAGCAGTGACGAAGAAATTTATTAAATTAAAGTTGCGTTAAATTAAAATAATATTTTTGTTCTTTTTTTTTTGTTTTGTGTTGCATATACGTTTATATTTTTAATAAAAATTAAGTTGTTTATGTAGAGTTGAAAAAAAATTTGTTTCTAGTAAGTTTTCGGAACGTAACCTCACTTTTTGTACTGCGTCTGGGTCTCATACAACACGGTTTCACACAACACGGCATTTTCTAGGAACCTATCTACCGTGTTATAGGAGGGTCACCTGTATTATACGATACTCGTGGAAAATAGTATCCATACTTATGTTCTTTCCTTTGTTAACACTAAAACTACCGATCTTTAGTGGGTACCTAACTATAACGTGCACAGATTATAGTAATTTCAGCGATACGATGAATATGAGTGAATATATTGATTACAGTTCTTTCTTAATATCAGTTGATACCAATATTATTCTTAAAGCAAGTGTATGTGTTCGGTGATTGCAAAAAGGAAAATTCTGGGACCAGTCATTTTCACTGGGTTGGTAGTTCTAGTGTTAACCCCATTGGCAATATTAACCCTCTATATCCACCGTTTGTAACACGGTTTGTAATCAATTAACCCTTTACACTCGAGGATTTCTTCGTTACAGAAAAATAGTAATTCGAAGACTTTCTGTCATAAATTCGACGATATCTTCAATTTCGATGGTAAATAAGAAATAAGAAATCGTATGCAAATTAAGACAGAATTATTTTATTTCGACATTCCACGTTATCGCATCGTTAGGTAATTTTAAATTTGGTATATTAATTAACATCGATCTTTAGAATCCGATTAAATGGCGACTGAGAGTCGCCTCTCGAGTGCAAAGGGTTAATATCGATCGTTGAAGCGTTTATAATAATATATTGCAATGTATAGCAATGATTAGATTGGAAGTATAATATTTTGGCATAAATGGTATAAATTATTGCGATTAGAAAAATGTAGAAGTTTCGAATTGTTATTACTTTTATAGAGAAAAATTCGTAAAGTGCAAGGGGTTAATATTGCCAATGGGGGTCAATAAAGAAGAGGACACAAGTGTGGATAATATTTTCTGAAATTGAAGAAATTAAAATGGTAATGTAGGACGATGAATGATAAATAGGGAGTGAAATGGGTTTTAAATTATGGCTTAATATCGCGGATCGAAGGCTGGAGAAAAAAATTGTTCGATAAACGGCAAATAATGGCACTTAACGTCGAAGCCGGTGAAAGAAATTGCGTTAACTATCGGCAATCTTTTATAAAATTGAAGGAATTCAAATGGCAAAATTAAATGATAAATGGTAAGTGGTTATTATAACGAGATAGCTTTCAAATTACGATTTAATATCGTTGATCGATGCTAATGGAAAAAAATGGCGTTAATATCGATAATCTTGGGAATGAACAATTTTTAATGATAAATAGCACGAAGTCGTATAGCTTTTAAATTGCGACTCGATATCGCATACGAGAGTGAGTGGAAAACAAAAATGTATTAAATATCGATAACCTAATCTTCTCTAATCGAATGGTAAATAAAAAGCGGCACGAGGATGAGATAATTTTAGATTACAAAGTAGTATGTGAAATTGAAATTGGTGGAAAAAAATTGCATTAAGTGTCTGTACAATCTTTCCCAGAATTAACGAAATTTAAATGGCAAAAATCGAAATTGGCGAAAAGAAATTGCATCAATATATTCTATCTAATCTTTTCCAAAATTAACGAAATTTAAATGGCCAAAATTGAAATTGAAAAAAAGAAATTGCACTAAATATTTATACAATTGTTTCCAAAATTACGGAAATTTAAATGGCAAAAATCGAAATTGGCAAGAAAAATTGCATTAAATATCTGTACAATCTTTTTCAATACTAATGAAATTTAAATGGCAAAAATTGAAATTGAAGAAAAGAAATTGCATCGAATATCTATGCAATCTTTTCTAAAATTGCCAAAATTTAAATGGCAAAAATTAAAATTGGCGAAAAGCAATTGCATCAAATATCTACCTAATCTTTTCCAAAATTAACGAAATTTAAATGGCAAAAATTGAAATTGAAGAAAAGAAATTGCACTAAATATTTATACAATTGTTTACAAAATTACCGAAATTTAAATGGCAAAAATCGAAGGATAAATAATAAATAGCACTAGAAAGAAATAATTTTACGTTGCAATTTAAAACCAAAACTCAAAATTGGCAAAAAGAAATTGCATTAAATATTGGCATAATTCTTTTTTAATTTAACGAAATTTAAATATCAAAAATGGAACTATAAATCGTAAATGGCGCGAAAAAGACGTAATTTGAAATTACAACCTCGTTCCGGTAATCGAATTTAGCGATAAAAAGATTATAAAGCTTATAAATATAAATAATTTTTGCCGGATTTCAAGAAATCGAGACGATAAAATTGATCGATAAATAGCGAGTAATTGGAGAACGAGATAGCCTTTAGATCGCGACCTAACATCAGCCGATATCGAAGTCAGGGACGTCACAAAAGAGCCCGGCGAAGGATAACGGGGAGGAAAGAACGGTTTTCCAGTTAAGTTTTTAGGGTGTTCAAAGGGGGTTAGAGGATCGAGACACGAGCACTTAGGCCAGTCCTAAAATACGGGCCAGTCCTTTGTGTTTGGCAAACCTGGAAGCCGTCGGAATTTCTAAAGCGGCCATTCGACAATTCGCCTCTCCCTTGTGCCCGGTAATGGGATAAATGATGCTTGGCCTTTGGTCGTTACACGACTTAATCGAGCAAATTCGTTGAGGCGCTTTCTCGCCGTGCTTTTATCGACTCACCATCGTGATTTCCTCCTGGACAATGGGATCCTTTCAGCCTGCCCCGCAGTGCACGATTTTCTTACGGTAAATTTGACGATTGCACGAGGAGAACGTCCAAATATTTATTATAGAAGCGAGTCTGTGAGACTGAGTGACATGGAACAAGGATGTCAATGACGTATCTAGAGTTTTATTCTTGACACGTCAACGATATCGCGAGTATCAGACGGTTTAGAGAGAAAATTGGGGATGACATTCGTTGACGATCATCGAAGATTAATCATTTACAATTTAATGCTATTCCGAAAATATTGTACTGGGCAGAGAATTTTTCTTGGGATCGAAACTTCGTCCTAAAGATGTCCAAGACTTTCAAGAACATTCGAGGTTTCCAAGAATATTTGAAGTATCAAAAATTTTCACGATTCCTGAAAATATTCGCGATCTCTAAAATTTCCGAAATTCTCAAACGTGTTCTACATTTCCGGAAATATCCGAAATCTTGGAAATATTAAAAAATTCCTGAAAATATTCGGGGTCCCAAAAATGTCAAAAATTCCTAAAATATTCGGGATCCCAAAAGTGTAAAAAATTCCGGAAATATTTGGGATTCCAAAAATGTCAAAAATTCCTAAAATATTTGGGATCCCAAAAGTGTCAAAAATTCCCGAAAATAATCGAGATCCAAATGTGTCAAAAATTCCTAAAATATTCGGGATCCCAAAAGTGTAAAAAATTCCGGAAATATTTGGGATTCCAAAAATGTCAAAAATTCCTAAAATATTTGGGATCCCAAAAGTGTCAAAACTTCCCGAAAATAATCGAGATCCAAATGTGTCAAAAATTCCTAAAATATTCCGGATCCCAAAAATGTTAAAAATTCCTAAAATATTCGGGATCCCAAAAATGTCAAAAATTCCTAAAATATTCGGGATCCCAAAAATGTCAAAAATTCCTAAAATATTCGGGATCCCAAAGGTGTCAAAAATTTCTGAAAATACTCGGTATCCAAAAGTGTCAAAAATTCCCGAAACCTCGGAATCGAAGACCTCGACACCACCGATTAACGCGAATAAAAAAGAAAGATTGATGGAAAAATATGAAAATTGTGCGAGTGACGTGGAAAGCGCCGGCTACGCCAGTGAGGGATGTCGCAAAGGTATGCATCTAAGTAATGTTGGCTGTATTTTTGTTGACAGACGCCTGTTCATCGCGGTCGACGCCGAAACCACGGCCACCGACGCCGACGCCTCGACCAAATATCACATTCCACATGTACACGTGTCCACCGGATTATGCGGAATGGTACTGCTTGAACGGTGCCACATGTTTCACTGTCAAAATCGTCGATTCCCTCCTTTACAATTGTTTGTAAGTACACCTTTGTAACTACTATCTCTCCGCATGGGAAAAGTCTTGCACTTGTTCTGGAAGGTGATAGGGGTACTGTCAGGTGTTTCGTAATAACCGTATCAGTTCACCTTCTGTGTATGCTTACCGTTACCTTCTGGGAATCGAGCTAATGCGAGCTAATACGATGCTATAGTATAGATACTCCAAACGAGTATACCGTGCAAGTATACTTACATAAAATAAAATGGACGATCACACGCGAAAGAACAACTGCAAGACTTTTGCTTTGACGAAATGTAGGCGCAAATATCTGTCACGAATCGTTTTGACGAGATGTAAACGCAAATGTCTGTCAAACGCTTTCTTCGGGATTGAGACTCGGGATTTGATACTCTGCTCTGCCATTTACCGTACCTTTCACTGTTCCGTCTACTATTTGCATTCCACGCAGTCCGCAATACCGAGTAAAAGTGCGTGACACTTTACCGAAAGGAACTAGGAAGATCTAGGCGATCCTAGATCACCTAGAAATTCAGACGCGATAGTTGACCGCCTCGTGAGAACGCAGGATTTTCCGAATCAAGGCTCCTCGACGAATAGCATGCAATTCTGTTACACGCTTTCTTTCCAGCCAATACTGCTGGATTAACACACCTTTCACTGACAGATCTGCTATTAACCTGCTATACTCTGTCATGTTCCCTGTTATTTTTTCCAAAGGAATACGTTCGATCAGCTATGATCAGAGAATACCAGGCTTCTGCTTCGTGATTCTTCGACCAATCTGCTCCCAACTCTCTAGACAGTCTATGTACTGTCATCCCAGTACTTTTCTCAAAGTACGATCTTCACCTCGAGACTCAGCCGTGATCGAGGACCTCTGCGTTCACGTAGATTCACAAGTAATGCGAATAACGCTGTTAAGCCTCTGCGTAATGTATTCTATAATACAATGTTCCCTGAGACTTTTCCAAAAGAAACACGTACGATCCTCTGCTCGAAACGCAGTCCTCACGAGGGACCTCGCGCTCATGAGAACGCGAAGGTAGCAGCCTTCGAGGCTCGACTCCGCAATGGCGGATATTCAAATCACGGCTCCGTTTGACTCGCGTGGTTTTCGTGTCCAATGGAACAGCCGTTAACCGATCATTACCTATCGTATCTATCCACTGCGGCGACGTTACCGTTCATTTCAGAAATCTACCGTGAATAATGGCAATGGCATGTTCCGTTGCAGTCCCAGCGAATTATCGTATCGAACGTTAACTCGCGCTTTGTTTAACCGTGCGATCCCGACCCGCCTGGGAAAACGTTATTTCACGTGCTTCCCGATGGAACCACGAATTTGCTCTCACGGCCTGCCTCGCGTTCCGCTCCGTGCACCTTTTAGCGTCGTTTTCGACGATAACCATCGATCGTCCACCCCTGCAATCAACGTGCCCAGGTATGACAGGTATACGCATACCTGTGTCCAGATCACTGTTTCGTTTAAAGGGATCGTCGACTCTCGGATGATTTACAAATTTGGACACAACAGTGTCCATTCGCAGTGTGCACTTTTCCTAGGCTAACCTGTTCTCCAATCGTTGCATAGATGACCCCTGCTTTCCCTCGTAGACGCGGGACACGGAAATTCACTTTGCTCGATCAAGATTTCATGGACTTGTCGATAGACTGGGAAGTGTAGGAGACTCGTGTAGCCTTCGGTTGCGTAGCCTCGAAATCGACGTGCCGTTTAGAGAGGTCTCGATCGCTTTCCAAGAGGAAGCGAAACTATCTCACGGTGCGAGGATTGCGACACGGCTGTATCACGCGTGGAATTTCAGCCGCGAAGACGCTTTGGAATATTGCGTAACGAGACACACCCTTGGTAAACAGAGAGCCGATCGACGAAAATACCGAACGCGTTCCTCTCAATCGCCTGTCATAAATCTCTCCAGGAAACTCGGGGTTATTTCCTAATTCCGTGACGCGGAAGGCCTAAAAATTCCGACCTGTTTACCGACTAACATCCTCCGGGTCTCTGACACGGTCTTCCTTTACACCTGTGCCATCTCTCCGCGCCGATTCCCTGCACCGATTCGCAGCTTCTGCCAAGAGGATGTCACGAAACCTCTAGTCGAGTTGACAGAATCTAGGAATTTTCTGCCCGGATTCACGGAATCTCGAAATGTCCTGGACGAATGCCCGGCCACGTGTACACTCGAATGAAAGGGATCACGGGATCCCGTGAAGATTACACGGCAGCCGACTTTTTTCTCGCTCACGCACACCCTTCGCTGGGAATCGCGTTGACACCGTGCTGGAACAATCGCGATGGATCCGAGGTTAGAGCGAAGGTCGGAAAAGGGATCGCTGTGTCCTCGTTTCGCCAACGCTTAATCCCTGGCTGCGTGCCGATGACACGTACCATGGAATTCCTACGGGAGTCCCATGGAGGCCGGCTCCTCCGCCGATTGTACGAATCGCCTTTTTCTCTTTACGGCCATCGCGAGCATCGTGAACCGACACGTTCTTCCGACCGTCTCTCCCGTCGACCTTCCAGCCGATTTCAATGGACTTGGAAGGTTCCGTCCATGGATGGTTCTCGTGGAAACCTTGGCAGGTCCGAATATGTTGCTCTTCGATCGTTGATTGTTGTTGACGACGTGATAACTTGGCAAGAATAGGTTAGGTTTAGGTTTAGGTTTAGGTTTGGTTCTCGTGTTTTGAAGATTTGTTTGCTAGGGGTTGAAATACCGGAATAGATTTGATGAGTATAAGTGTAAATGTGGTGTAGGTATATGTAGGTATATATAGTTGGTAGTAATAAGAAAAATGGGAGGAAAGAATAATAACTGGAGAAGGTTGATAGCAGGAGAAACCAACCCCGAAATATGCAAATGTATTAGTGATTTCGCGACGACCTTGAGGAAAAAGACAGAGGACAGACAAGAAGTGATACCAAAGACTAGGACTATACGTGTACACATACGTAAATACCTAAATACAGTAAGGTTATGTGCAATATGGAATATGGAGATGTAATTCTTAAACTGTATGCAGTAAGAAATAAATATCTATCTATCTATAGTTGATGGTAATTAGCTTTGTTGTTGCACAAAATTGTATATTGCTAATGGATAACCTAAACCATTTACAGTGATACGATAATATCGTGTTTGCAAAGGATTAAATAGCGACTTGTAAGAGTTACCGATACCATTTTTGTATAAACGAAGGCATCAGAACCTATTGTATTGCTATAGCTATTGTAATTCGTATAGATTTTTGATCAAAATTTTCAATTGTATTGAAAATATAAGTAGGTTAAATTAAGCTTATAGATTCATAATCTGTCGATATATTTAATAATATTTTATACGAAATTATTTAAATTATTGGAAATTGTATATTGGTAATGGATAATACGTTGTATAGATAGGTGTACCATTACCATGCACAGGTACCATTTTTATAAAATTGGTAAAATTATTTTATTTTATTTGCCGATCAGTAACTGCTTCCTTCTTACGCCATGATAGATATTAAATTAAACAAAATCATTTTCGAATGAAGCCATTTGAGATGATACTAAAGTACCGTGTCCACAAAGGGTGAAATAATAATTTGTAGAAGTTGTCGTTCCTTTTTTAAAAATTGGTTGGTGTTTTATTTTATCTTATTTTATTTTATTTTATCTACGGATCGGTAATTGCTTCTTCTTACATCGAAGTAGATATTACATGGAATAAAATAATTCTTGGATGAGGTCATTTGAAACCACACAGAAAGTACCATATTTATAAAGAGATGATTCTCATTTTATTTTGTCCAATATATAAATAAATAGTTAATTACGCTGTTTCGTTAGTCGAATTTCTATAAATCTATAGTATTTTAATATTATTGTAAGAATTTAACCCTTTGCACTCGAGAGGTGAGCTTCAGTTACCATTTCATAAAATTTGGGAGATAGATATTAATTAATATATCAAATTTAATGTAATGCAACAGTGCGCGAGGTATCGAAATCAAATAATTCTACAATTTTATTATTATACAATTCTTTATTTACTGCTGAAAAAGGTATCGTCAGTTTTTTAACCACTTGCGCTGGAAAGACGTGTCACACACGTCGTAATGCTATTGTCGCAGAATCGCCAACGACGTGGTATACACGTTGTCAGGCAATTGTCACAGAAACACTGGACCGTATCTGTGAATTTCTTGCCAGTGCAAGTGGTTAATAGAGAATCTTTGATTTTCTACTCTTCTCTAACCAAAAAGTCGTCGAGTTCAAAGGATTAATTTTATTTTCATTTTCGTGGAGGATGTACTTAGTATTTATATGGTGGATTTTATTTTTATTCGCGTATATACGTTATGTGTGATAGTTGGTAATAATTTAATGATATTCGAGTTTGTATATATTTTGATCTATTTTGAAGGAATTGTTTCAATTCGTGCGGTAAAGAATGTTCGCATTTAGGAATTAAAGAGGTACGATAAAAATCGTTAGATATATACAATTACGCGCGAGAGATCGCCGATAATCAGTAATTTATCAGTGGCGCCACGGGGTTCACCGAGGATTAACGATACCGGGGTCGGTAATAGCATTTAATTAAACTAGACGGTATTATTTGTAAAATGTAGGATTATCGCTGCTCTTAATACGGTGTAAAGAAACTAATGCATCACGGAGCATATTTAAATAAATCTAACTGTACAGACTCCAATTTTAATTACGTTATAAATTAGATTTAAATCAGACTTCGAATCAGATTTTCAATTAATTACTAAATACAATTTAAATTAAATTCAAATTTCTAACTGTACACGCATTATTTACTCGTGTTGCGAAGTATCGTTGCAAAACAGGAGACCCACTCTGGGCAGATTACGTAGAATCAGCCTTGCATTCCACTTATCAGCTTCGTCGATGATTACGCATTAAGAAGATCGGGAAAAATTCAAAATGGAATAGAAATTCAAATTTCTCCGCTATTCCCGCCTTACTTGTCATAAGTAAATAC